CTTGATTGGCAGCTACTGAGCACTAATAATAACAACATCATTTGCATGTAGTCACTGGTAATTTGAACGTCCACATTCACATATAAAAAAAGAATAAGTCAATTAATATAATTGGTTACATACATTCAAACAAGATTGAGATGACAAGGATAAACCTAACGAATCTTTTTCATTTCATTGATTTTATATCAAGAAATAATTCAAAGACAAACCTTATATAAATCCCATCTACAAACAAGGAATTCCACAGCTCAAACTTCTTTTACTTAGCAATAATTCTCATAACACAATCTAGTGAGTGCCATTGGTCTCATATCACAATGGCTCTCAATCGTCTCTCTTTTACGTCTTTTCTTCTCGTGGCCTTAGTGGCAGTTTCATCTGCTAGTGATTCTTATTCATCACCGGTGTACAAGACACCAGTGTATACACCATCCCCAGTGTACAAATCGCCGGTGTACACACCGTCACCAGTATACAAATCCCCAGTGTACACACCATCACCCATTCACAAGTCGCCAGTGTACACACCATCGCCTGTATATAAATCCCCTATCTACACTCCGTCACCAGTTTATGAATCTCCAGTATACATGCCAACACCAGTGTACAAATCCCCAAAGTACACACCATCTCCGGTCTACAAGGCCCCAGTTTATAGCCCAACCCCATCATACAAGTCACCAACATACACTCCATCTCCAATATACAAATCACCAGTATACACTCCATCCCATGTATACAAGTCACCAATCTACACCCCATCTCCGGTTCATAAGTCACCGGTCTACACTCCATCTCCTATATACAAGTCACCAGATTACACTCCATCTCCTGTGTACAAATCACCAATTTACACCCCGTCTCCAGTTTACAAGTCACCCATCTACACTCCATCCCCTGTGTACAAATCACCAGTATACACCCCATCTCCAGTTTACAAGTCTCCAATATACAAGCCAACACCGGTGTACAAATCTCCATCGTACACCCCATCACCGAGTTACAAGGCTCCAGTCTACAGTCCATCCCCCGTCTACAAGTCACCAGTATACACTCCATCTCCTGTGTACAAGTCTCCTGTATACACACCTTCACCAGTGTATAAATCTCCATCATACACTCCATCTCCAATCTACAAGTCCCCAATTTACACCCCATCACCAATGTACAAGTCACCAGTTTACACACCATCCCCAATCTACAAGTCCCCAGTTTACACTCCATCACCAGTGTACAAGTCACCAGTTTATACTCCATCTCCTGTACATAAATCACCAAAATACACACCATCACCGGTTTACTCCCCTTCTCCCGTCTACAAGTCACCGGTTTACAAGTCTCCCGCATACACCCCAAGCCCTCCTCCATATGGCTATTGAGGAAATATATGACTAAATAATGATTGATTTTCTATGTATTTGTTTTTTTCTTCGACTTGTTATATGTGTTTAAAAGTACCCCAAATGAGGGTTATGTTGAGTGAAATTGTTCTTATTTGTTGTAGTACTTTCAATTCGAAATAATGGATTCAAAATTCTATAACCGTTTAATTTCTTATATTTATATTTTTGTTTTTGTAGGTTTTGCCATCCGAGCATAAAATCAATTTTTACATCACCATTGTTATCATTTTTATTTCCTTAAAATCAATTAGTACCTACTCTGTATGTTTCTTTTTAGTTAGTACAAAATTATTTATTATATCTCATAAATAATACCCTTTGTTGCAACTATAAAGAAACAGAGGTAGTATATTTTTACATCTTGATTATTATACGTAAAACAAGAAACATAGTCTTTTTTAGTTCAATTTATTTTTACTTATTTCAGAAAAAGAAAAAAAAAAGTTCAGATTAGATCATAGTTTTATGTACAGCTTTTTATCGCTAAATTTCTTTAATTCCATACTAAAAAATTTATGAAATTACATATTTAAAAATACACATTATTACGAAGCTAACAAGACCACACTTGATATATTTTTTCTTTATAGATTATTGTTAAGGTCTTTGTTCAAATTAGACAATTAGATCAGATCAGATAAACAAAAAATAAAGTGAACTAACAAGCCCTTAGAGTTATAAAGTTGATTGTTGAACCAGTGTTTGCTAATTATAATGAACTATTAATGATCAGATTAAGAGTAATTGCTCTACTTGCACAAAAAACTCTTATAGATAATGATCAAATTGAGCAACTAAAATGAGACAAAAGGGTTTAGATTGCAGACTTTGCATTAGAGATATGCGTAAAAAATCATTTATATGGAGTATATACATATTACTCCGTATTATATACAACTATACAAGTATCCTTTAAAAACCTGTCTTTATCTTGTTCAGATTAGGCCGTACTTTGGACCTCAAGCACTCTCCTCGTCAAAAAAATATTAAATAAAGCACTTTCCTTATTTTTCTTTTCTTCTTTGTAGTCTATCTCCTCATCTTTTGGCATCATTAATCAATACTCCCTCTGTTTTTTAAATACTTGCTCTATTCTTTATGCGCGAATTTTTAAGAGAAATTGAAGAATGTAATAAAATATGATGGTAGTGGGATAGGTAAAATAATATAAAATTGTAAAAAGCAAAAATAGTTGAGACAATTGGAGGAGAGAGAATATATGTGAAATTAATAAAATATGATTTATATTGGGACCACTAGTTGAGAGAAATGAATTAAATAGTGTAAAAGCTTCCAAATAAAGAAATGAAGCAAGTATTTAAAAACGGCCAAAAATAAAAAGTGGAGGCAATAAAAACGGAGGGAGTAACAAATTCAGTACAACTAAGACAAGCATAGTCAAAAATTAATACGGAGTACCAAGCTAATTGCACAAAATCATATACTAGTACAATTTTTGATAAAGTAGAAGAAAAAAAAAGATACTTCCTTCGTTTCTTAATACTTGCAACACTTCTCATTTCACAATTGCCAATACACTATTTCAATCATTAATATCTATAATTACCAATGTGTAAAAATTATACAAAAAATTGATATTATGAAAGTATAAATCGAGACGAGTAAAACAAGATCCCACATGACTATATTTTTCCTAATTTATAAATCATTAAAGCTAGTCAATGTGAAGAAAAAAAATAATACGGCTACTTCATCAAGGGTTAATTGCAAATTTGAGTGGACTGTTGTGTGGAACTCTGACAATCCTCCTAAAGTAAAGAATTTTGCTTGGAGAGCTATGAAAGGAGCTGTGGCTGCCAGGCAGTGCCTGTTTCAAAGAGGTATGAATATAGATCCTATTTGCCCAATGTGTGGTAGTGAAAATGAAACCATATTACACATGCTTGCTCTCTGCCCTGAAGCAAAAAGAATATGGTATCTTTCACCCCTACGTTTAGAGGTGGAGAAATACGAGGGGGTGGGTTTTGGGGAGTGGTGTGGCTCCATCCGTGTTCTTCACAAAGATCCTCACTGGTGGAACATTCTCTTCGCAATTCTATGGGGAATATGGCTACGGAGAAATGTATGGTCCTATGAGAATAGGAAGAAAGATCTGATGGATGTTATCCAAAAAGCAGTGAGTGTGGTGGGAGATTATGAACAAGCTCAGCAGGCTTTAAGTTCGTCTGAAGGTAGGCATCAGTTGTTGGAGTCGAAGTGGAAACCTCCTACTCAGGGAATGATCAAGATAAATTCTGATGCTGCGATCTTTGATAACTCAGCTGTGGGATTGGGAGGTGTAATGCGTGATGCACTGGGGGAGGTTGTGGTGGCTACATGTCTATGCCTAAGAAGTAAGTATGAGGTGGATGTAGCTGAAGCCCTTGCATTGAGACACTCCCTACGCATAGCATTGGAGTCGGAGTTTAGGAAGGTGTGCCTGGAAACTGATTGTATGAAGGTGTTCAGTCACCTGACGAAGGGTTGTGCCCCTGCTACGATCCTTGGGATGGTTATTAATGATATAAATGCAGTTAGCTCGTGGCTGCCAATCGTGCTCCTTCTCCTTCGTCAAACGAAGTGGTAATGGGGCAGCCCATGCTTTAGCCAAACTTAGTTCTTCTTATGGTGATCTTAGAGTTTGGATGGAAGAGGTTCCTAGTGAAATCTCACCCTTTGTAATGGCTGACTTAGCTTCTGCTTTTGAGTAATAAATTTGTTTGGTTCGGTTTTCGTCAAAAAAAAAAAAAAAAGTGAGATATGTGAAATTGTAAATAGTGTAAAAGTCAAAGTGTTGTAAGTAAAAAAAAAAAAAGGAGGAAGTATAAGAAAGAATGGATGATTGGTGTGACAGAATTGCAATTGGAAGAAAAAAGATTGATTGAATTTCGAATAGTAATTCCAATTGAAAGAAGCATAGTATAGCATAAGAGAAGCTAAGAGAATGGGAAACTGAGAGAACAAGTAGCGTCGTTATGATGCCAGAGTACCGTGTTTCATGATACTTCAGGAGTATAATAGAAATTGCGCAAAACTCCTCTTCCCCTTCTTTAGTCATCCATAATGTAAGTGTAAGAAATAAAATGTCAAATTCTCTAAAATCGAAGTATATAGATGATGACCGGCTTTCTAAATACTCCTAAATGGGGATGAAAAGACGACATGAAAAAAATGAGCGAGGATAATATAATTGTAGACACGGAAAGTTTATGAGTGTTTTACATTAAATTAAATAGATTAATTTGGGTTAAATTATGTTAGTAATCCATTTTAATTATTTTTGGCCCACCCAAATATATAATCCGAATTAATCAAATAGAATTCGGATTATAAAACAAATTAAATGGAACAGGAAAAGACTTCTTAGTTATAAAATGGGCCAGGCCCAAACCTACCAAGTCCAACCGGGTTCTCATCTCCTATAAATACAACATTCTTCCATTAGTGGAGAGGATCCAAAAATCATTATTCCCAAGAGCTTATAAAACTCAACCGGAATTCTCTCTACTCAAACACATTTGAATACAGGTTGACATCATCAAACGTCACCCTGCATTCGAACTCAGGTTGACAACATCAAACGTCACCCTGCATTCAAATCTAAGTCGACTTCATCAAACGACGACCTACAGGTGTCGCACACGTGTAATCATAAAGCCGCGGAACAGAATCAGAGGATTTAGTTTATTATATTATAAATTGTAATACAGAAATTGTACCCAATTCAAATATTAATATAAATTTATTTGTTACTTTATTTCCCGTCTTTATTTATTTAGACTCGAAATTTGTGTAAACAATAACAATCATAACAATACTCAAGACAGTAGCTTTGTCTACTATTCCAGGGCTGCTTTTACAAATCAGCAGCCACCATTTTTTAATGTACTTTTGTGCTAAAATGCAGCTAAAATGCCCTTTGTCACAGCAACAAAATGTCAGAGAACCTCTGATGATTTCCTAATGTCTGCTTCATTGTAGGAGTGTGAATAATACCACAACCTTGCTGCTGCTACCGTCTTTATCTCCTAGCTATCATGTAACATGTGCTGTTAATGTAGAAATCGGTCCAAGGGGAGTTGCATATAAAAGAATACAACATGTCATCTACTTAGCTCCATCCAAATTACATTTTTCTCATCCTAAACTAGTCTTACAGCCTCAGAAAGATCAAGATTGATGGCTCGCCATCTTTTTTGCTTCATGTCTTTGATACTTGTGTTCAAAATGGCTGTTGTATCTTCTGCCAGCGAACTCGACAATGGTTATATCCCGAAACCAGAGAACAGCATTCCAGATAACCAACCAAAACAACAGGACAACGGCAACCCTGTGGACAGTCCAACAAATTTCAACATACCAATTAAATCGGAACCCAAACCAAAGGTACCTGTGACTTCACCATCACCAGGGCACAAGAAGCCTAAGTACAACCACCCATTAACAATCTACAAAAAACCATTTCCCACCCCATTGCCCGTACATAAGAAGAAGCCAATATACAAGAAGCCCATATATATTCCGAAGCCTATCTATATTCCAATTTACAAGAATCCAACTAATGATACTCCTGCCCAAGCTCCAGCTCCAGCTCCAGCTCCAGCTGAGGATGATTATCCTGTATACCCTCCACCTTCACCTCCATCTTCATCTTCATCTCCACTTCCACCTTCACCAATCCAATCTCCACAAAACGGTGCACCTCCACCATATAAGTCACTAGACTATATTCCAGCTCCAGTATTTGACCCTCCAATTAATGAGCCCTCTCGTTGAGACTAGCTAATTTCTCATGCTACATATCTCTGCCGTTTACAAAATATCTATTATAGCTCTTCCATCTATACCTCAAATTCGGCTATCAAAATACTGTACTAGGAAGAATATACTAGAGTTTTTTTCTCTGAAACTGAGAAGTTACTTCTTTGAGTACAAGGAATGAAAAAAAAAATATTTATTCTTGATCTTCTAAATTAATTTGTGTAAGGGAATTGGTCAGTGTTATATGTACTTTCATATAATGAAAATAAACATCAATAACTATTTTGCAAATTCCGTCTATTGTATAACTATAGATAGCACTCAAACCAGGCCAGGAGACATTGTTTTGATCATCTTAAGGTCCGGAAGTTTTCATAGGGAGCACTTTAAAACATGCACATGTCAGAAGCAATTGCATATTTATCACAACTCCCTACTTGAAAGAACAAAAATGAGGTAACAATGTAAGAGCTGATTCTAAGGAATTTATAGAGTATCTGATTCTGAAGAATGTTCCCTTGCAATGCAAACCTAAGTACTTGAAAGTGGCAAAGTTTCAACACCTTCTCCCCTAAGTTCATATTGAATGTATAAAATACTACATAAAGTATGTTAGAAGAGTGATATTATTGTGCTAAGCACATTAACTATTGCAACTATAAAAACATAAAGTCGTAAGTTTAACTCTAAAAAATCATATTGGACAAACACAATGAGACAGAGGAATTACGTGTAAGAGGTTTGAAATAAATACTAAGCCCCTCCACTAGTTTCACAGTAACTTCAATATCGGTTATTTATGTCCCGACTAATCTTCCTATGAGTATTACATTGCAAACACCCACTATAGAGTTCAAGTGAGAACAAATTAGACTACATTTTCAGAAATTGTTTACAGAAAATAATTTGCAGATATTCTCTCTAAATTTAGGCAGTGATTAATTTCAGGAATTTGAATATCTACTTACATGTGATGCAAAAGCTGCTGACACGCTGACAGATTCTAAGGAAAAAAAGAAAGTCTAGCTGATTTCCATAATAATATCTAAACTATAAGCCATCAAAGTTGGAGAGTATCGTTTTCATATTTTATGAACTGATAACAGCTAAAAACTACTTAGAATCAATAGACACAAAAAAACAGCCTTAATCTCATGCTGTCATGCTATGCATTTACACACATATTTCTAATTAATCTCAATTTGAAACAAACCTGGAACTTTCATCAGCATGGTTTTGCATCTTGTATTCTTGTAAGGCCTTCATTTCATCAATGGAGGTAAACGACAGGGATCCCTATTTTCGGGGGTACACATCGTGTATTTGTCGAGGATTGTCAGTAAAAGTGGGATAAAAATCAAAAGGTATGAAATTCATTCGCCCTTAACGCCATGATACATGTGCTGGATGAATATTGAAGAAGCACAGAAACCAATTGCACCAAGCATTAAGAAACAAGCATAACAAATGCAAGCGTTGTAGCCCAGGAAGAAGCACAACTGCATGAAAGCATCCATATGTGACCTGGCATAGAAGTATATACAATAGACAAACATAAACATAGCTGTTGATCCACCACGTAATACCGACCTGCAGAAATAGAAGAAAAATTTAAGCTTTGATGAGAAAGTCAGCAGCGACTATAACAGGAGGAAAATACAAAGTTAAGGCATCCTGGAAGAAAATAAGGCTACATGTAAGAAAAAATGTTTTCTCTATATTTTGTATTTGGTTCAAAGGAAAACAACTTGAGAAAAATTGTAACTTGATGGAAAGCGATATTTCAATGGAATTTAGGTTTTGCACTTAATTGTCCATCATTTGGTTCATTGTTAGAAGAGAAAAGGGCAAAGGGAAAGAAAGGTGGAAGAAATTGATTTTCCTCTCAGCCATATAGAGCCCACATGTTGCATGAATCAAGTAAGCAACAATGGAATATAAACAGCATACCTCCACCACCATTCAGGATCTTCCACAGAAAGTTGAATGTATGTCAAACCAACACTTAATATAGCAGTCAGTAAGACAAGGATTGAGAAGCTGATGAGCATAATGCTCGGCAGTGTAAATAGTTTGTAGCTCCACATGCTTGCATATAGCAGATGCAGCTCCACGAGAACTGCACTGAAAGGTAAGAGACCACCCAGAAGCATCTGAATGTGGATTTTTCTATACCAATTTAATGGAGGAATCTCTCTCACATACTTCTTGCTAGAAGGCACAACTTTTGTACATCTGTAACGACATCCAACAATCCCTCCTAATGCAAGAAGTGGGGCAGTAACAAATGTATGTATGAGAAATATCACAACAATGGTGCCAAAAGGTAGAGCAGCTGTAGACCCATATGATACTGCTACTGTATTAAGGATAGAAAGTACAAGTGCCAATGGACCCATAAAGAGAATCCCTGTCAGGAGGACACTTCTTTCCTGCAAAATTAATTTATGTTCATTGAACCATTGAAAATATTATAATACTCCCATCCCTAAACAATAGCCCACGTATTTGATCATTTTTTAGAGATGTTATTATAAGTAGCATTACTTTATGAACTTTTGAATATACACCGTATCAATGTTGTGTTTTCTGATTAATATTATCATTGAGGATAGTATGGGAATAAATGGCCTGTTATTTTGAGATGGTTTGAAATAGAAAGGTGGACTATTATTTAGGGATGGAGGGAACATAGCCAGTCATAATTGAATCACCCATGCTGCCATGCATGCCGCACACGGAAAGAAAAGGAAAGAGGGGAACACAACTGTAATTCAGATGCATTTGAGATAGAGATTTTTACCCATCCAGTTTCGGAAAATTGGCAATGAAATGAAGCAGCAGTATATCCTGCAACTGCAGACGTTACAGTGTAAATGACAACAACAGCTGTCCATAAAGTCCCATGGGTATATGGCACTAGAAGACCGAGGGAGGTTAATACAAACAAACAGCAAAACCTGAAAAGTTTCATATATAGGCTAGTAAGGTACACCAGGAGTGCTGCAGCAGACAAGTTATAGCAGACGTTCATATTCAATATGCTGGAAGCAAACAGGTCCAATAGAACAATACTACCAAACAGAATGCAGATTAAACTTGATAAGTCTACACATAAATGTTGCACATATTTGATGCAAGTAACAAGTATCAGAGCACAATGATCCAATTAGTTGCCTTACACAAGAAAAAGTTGAGTGCCACAGCCAAGCACAGCACAAAAGAGAGGCAACAATGTCGGGCATCTGAAAACATCACCCTCAATGCACGCCCATCCAATCTCTCTATCGTCTTCATCTCCATTTGAATACCTAGAATACAAAATGATTAATTGTCAACCAAGGAGAAGCTAGAGCCCTGCCTGAAAACAAAAAAATTTAAGTAACAGTGCAAGTAATGACTGGCTGCTAAATTACTTTCTTAAATCATTCTTGATATTCCACCAATATAGCACAGCCAGTAATCCCATTGATAGCAAAATGATGACAGCTGAATTAATGAATGAAAACCAGTGAAGTTGCTGAACTGGTGAGAGCAAAGATGCCTTTGAATATCTTCTCATTCTGTTTGCAAATCGCGTTGATGTTGCATTCCAATTTGCTGAGTAAGTAAACTTTACATTAATTGCAGCATCTTCTGTGATGTCAACAACATGACTGGGGTCACTGAAAGCGTGCACTTCTATAACATTATTGTCATTGTATAAGACATCTAACTGAACATGTGTGAATAGATAGGATCTTGACCCTTTCATATAGGGGTTCAAGCTCTCTCCTTCAACTATCCCAATGAATCCCCAAAATGGGAGGTCATCAAAGAACATTTGAAAGTAATAATCCTCTGAATTGCATCACGAAATTTAACAAGTTCCTCCTTCCAAGTTTAGTGGTGCACCATTCCTCTGCTATTTTCATTTCCTGGAACCTTATATCATAGCGTGTGTTTGTCAGACGATCACCACTTAAAACCTCGCCAAGTGATTCCTTTCTTCTGATTAAAGGATCTGCAATCAAAGAGTTGAAGAACAAAACACACAATTCAGCTACGGCAACAGAGCTCTTTTCAATGATTTGTTTTGAAATTTGCACTGATTTAGTAGAAAATCTTAAAAGACTAACAGGACCACATACTCTGACTGAATATATTTTGCAGACAAGAGGTCATTTCAAACATATCAAGAGATGCACTTATACTAGATAAGACATGAGAATCTGTCATTTTAGGTGCATAAACTGAAAGACTGCAGAGCCACATTTGATACATCACCCAGGAGAGGATAATGAAGCAAGCCGTCTTGCAGATATCCGGGAAATAGCTCAAGTTTTGAAATGCAAAGGTAAGAAGTTAAGAACTAAGAAAGGATTGTGTAAACTAGCGAAGAAAAGTCTCAGTCTCTTGAATTACATCCATTGCATAGGCAGCTAATTAGCATCATAATATGTGCTACGCAGCCCTTTACCCAGTCTCACAAGAGTACACGGCATTAGTCTGCAGTCATCAAACCCAGCTACTAATCATCATATGCCATATTGCTTTGATTATACTTCACAACTATATTTCCGCTTCTAAAACTGTTTATCCTTCCACACTTAAATAGATAGCCTAGATGGGTTTCGATATCTTCCGCTATCTTAAGAAAGTCCTAATATAGTTACGATAGCACAAAATTGCAAGGCTATGCATCAGTAAACTGACAGCTGAAATTCAACTTACTTTACTAAGTTTGAGCTCACAGTCTGCATGATTATAATTGCAAACATATGTATAACAAATGAATGTTAGTTCAATCTTCTACCCAATCTTGACAGAAAATGCACTAATTGTTACTTGTATAAGACTATTAGCCAACCTGGGCGGCAGAATGGCAAATCGAAATATTCGTACGCCTCACTGCAAAAAGACAAAGATTCATATCAAAATTCCCTCACCAAAGTACTAACAATGCTAATCCTGCAACACTTTTCTGCAACAGAACTACAGATCTAAATAATATTCCCAACAGAACTATATAAGAAACAATGAAATCGAACTCGAAATTTTACCAAAGTCAGATGCCACATTGCCAATAGCAATAACAAGTCCACATTGCCACATTGTCTCAAAAATCTTCTACATTCAAAAAATTACAGAATACTTGTCCTAAATCATAATACACCCACAAGATCAAATTTTTGAATCCGGGAATGTAGCAATCGCGAAAACACTAAAGAAAAAAAAATTAGCCATATCCTCAAATTTTCTGATTTATTAACCCCATTAATTAATTAATTAAAGAAATGATTACTATTGAAAAATCACTAAAACTTAACAATACTATATTCTCAGGAAACAAAGCAAGGCCAAAAATTTTAAAGCTAAAAAATCAAACCAATTCTCCAATAAAGGCAATAAAATGAAATTTGGGAACAAATTATAAGTCAAAATAAAAATTAGAAAATGGTGGGTACCTGGGATTATTCAAAGGGCCAACTTTGTTGGCAAAAATAGGGATTTGATCGCCCACATTGTAGTGGTGATTGAAGGAATAAACAGGAGGAAAAACCCAGAATTTAATCATTAAAATTAGCAACAAATTTGGGAACTTTGACATGATTAACTTAACTAGCTACTTTGATCTTTCTGACAGTGACAGTGTCTGAGATTGAGAGAAATCGTTTGGGGGTCACCGTAGAAATGACGTAGGAGTATATTTTACGGAGAACCTGATTTTTAGCTCAAATGTGCCAATTTTTGTTTTTGCCTTTTTGGTTATAGTATGAACATTTTTGTGGGAATTTGAAGTACAAGATTTTTTTTATTTTTTTATTTGGGTTTATACGTAGGAAGTTTTAGAATTAAGTATAAAATAAGAGACTCAATTCTTGCAAAATATGGAGAAAGGGGACTCTATTTATTTAGAGGAAAAGGGAATTGGGGTTAAATTTCCGGTGGTAGGGGTATTTTTTAGGTGACTTAACTGATCTTTTAACCCAAGAAGAATCAAGTCCCTTGTAAAGAATTGAGTCCCCTCAATATTACCTGGATTAAACTAGACAAATTCAATCCCTTCATTAATCATTTCTGCTGATTGTTTCAAAAATATAGTCGTTTGAAATTAAGAAAGTGCAATAGCAATACAAAAGCTTTGTTCTTGAATTTTTTTTAATGTTTGTTATCCAAAAAAAAAAATATTTCTTTCAGTAATAATAATAAGCCAAAGCATGTTCTTCATCTCTCTGGTTTGTAGCTTATTTGTCTTGCATTTGTAGCAGAAACACACATCGCAATTTTAGTAAAGGCTTTAGAGCCTTAAAATTAAAAAATAAAAAATAAAAAATAAAAAAAATGATTATCGATATGTCCTGTGTATATTGCAACAGAAGGTCAATAAAGAGAGTTTCTAAGACAGTCAAGCATCCTTTTATGAGATTTCTAATATGCCCAAACTATAAAATAAGTAGATGGGTGTGATTATATTAGGTGGTAGATGGGTTGACAGTCCACCTAAGTCAGAGTTAGCTTATGAGATGGTCATGATTTTAAAGAGAAATGTGGAGTTGGAAGGTCGAGAATGTGATGAAGATGATGAAGAAGTTAAACATTCAACGTATTGTAATTCTATGCCTTATTTTTGTTCCAAAAAGAGGAAGGAACTCCAAAATAAAAAAATAAAAATAATTGACCAAAGGGACTCAATTGTTTAACCAAGGGGACTCAATTCTTTTCCTTATTTAATTAAAACCCACCGAAAACCCAAACCTATTCTAGCTCAGTCCCTTTTCCCTCTGTAAAATAGATAGAGTCCCCTTCCTACACATTTTGCAAGAATTGAGTCCTTTGTTTTATACTTAACTCGGAAGTTTTAGTTTTAATATACATCTAAAACAAACAAAAATTTGGTCTTAATTACATACTTTGTATGTTAGATAGTTATACTAGTACAAAAATACGTAGTATATGGTTTTGTTATCACTTGAAATTATGTTAATATTCTTTTGTGTTGAGCATTGATAATTTAGTATCGAAAATTCTAATATATAGTATAGGCGTACCCAAATATATTTTGATGAAATAATGAGCATTAGATTATCCTTGGTATTCCTCAAAAAAAAAAAAAAAAAAAAAAAAAAAAAAAAAAAAAAAGATTATCCTTGGTAAATCTGCATCCACATGCATGAATGTATGTAAGAATCTTCATCTTCATGCACGAATCCACATTGTTGTAGTGGTCTTTTCATGCATAGGTGATGGTGTTGGTCAGGGCCTAGATTTGGCACGCAATCTTAAAATAAGCGAACTGATGATCGAACTTGTGTGCAAGCACTTCTTGTTGGAGCTAGTAGCTACAGTGAGAGCACTCATCTCCTTAATCACTATCTTTCATTACGCAATAAAAGGATTTGGAATTTGAGGTGATTCACGTCTACCGAGAGGACAGTTGTGCAACTGATTACTTAACAAATCTGATTGAACAGACTAATTGTATAGGCTTTATTTATGACCCTTGAGGAAGATTTTCGTAGTTTAGCCTTTCCATGCTTAGATCCCACTTAATTCATGTACACTGATATGGATTACGTAATCGGGTTAGTTCTTCGCATTTGGATCGTGTCCAATACCAGTTCATTACCCATATCAGCCTCTTTCGCCACCCACGTGGAAACCTGCTTCTAGTCACGTGGACACCCATTGCCCACTTGACAACACACTCACATAGATCGACACATGGTACATGCTATGAGATTTCTATAAAATACCCCAACATATCTTACTTTTAAGGTACAATATTCTTAACCTGAACACTCTCAAATTACATTCTCATCCATATCGTACTAATACTGACTTTAGCATTTCGTACTCTCAAATTACAATGCCCATAAAGGTAGGAAGATAGAATTTGTGTCGGATAAAATTCGAACCTCATACCTCAAGAATGGGAGACGAACTCTGGGCCATTGCCGCAAGAGTTCCTTCTCAAAATCTAAAATTAAATGTCAACTCATTATGATACACTATTCAGTCCAGTGTGGTTGGTCTGCTGAACATTTTTTCTCTTTCTTTTTTAAAAAGAACAAGAAAAAAGAAAAAAGAAAAACAAAAAGGACTAAGAATAATGGTCCGCCGTATTTTTCAAAAGGATGGTGAGTCTCTCTCCCCAACTTACGCCTGCGATCAAGCCTTGTGCTTGACTCGCTCATAACACAATGATGCCCCTTCAACCTACCGCATTTTAGCCATTCTATCTGATCAAATCCAACGAATTTTCGGAGGATTTGTTCATCTGGGTTCTATTTTTGTGCACTATATTCAACTGGGTATGTTTCAATTTTCCCGTTTTTGGATTCTTTAACCAATTTTCACAACTGGGTTTTTATTATTTAATCGGAAAGTTTGCTTCTTTTTGATATTGTAAGATTATGTTGGTTTTGTGATTAATCGCCTGTTGATTTGTGTATGTTTTGACATTTGTAATTCTCAAAGTTTGGATCTTTCATTTGATTGGAAAATCTTGCAGTTACTTGATGAAGATGTCTGTCTTGCTATTATTAGAAATGAAGTGTTTGTGTTGTTGATTCAGATTGGGTATTGAAGCAATGCGAAATACCCATTTTTTTAATACAATGATTTGTTGTTTTGTTGAAAATTTGGCTGAAGAATTAGAGGATGATGTGATCAGGATACAATACATTGGGATATGTATGATATAACTAATTAATCTTCAATTGCATTTGAAGAAGCAAAACCCAAAATTCTGTTGTTGGTTTTGGGGTGAATTGAATTTGGTTTATGATTAGAGTAGAAGATGGAGAATTTACCTGTTGAAGTGATTGGAAACATACTGTCCCGCCTCGGGGCTGCTAGGGAAGTTGTGATTGCATCTGCAACGTGCCGGAAATGGAGAGAGGCTTTTCGAAAGCACCTACATTCTCTTTCATTCAATTCCAATGATTGGCCTGTTTTTCGCGATTTGTTGACTAGCCGGCTAGAGATTTTGATTACACAGACAATTTTCCAAACTACTGGCTTGCAAGGGCTTACAATCTTGATGGATGATGTTGATGAGTTTTCGGCTTCAACAGTTATTGCGTGGCTTATGTATACTAGGGAAAGTCTGAGAAGATTGTATTACAATGTTAGGACTAGCCCGAACCTTAACATTCTGGATATTTGTGGGAGACACAAACTGGAGATGCTGTCTTTGGCACACAATACAATCATAGGAGTTGAACCTAATTATCAAAGGTTTTCTTGCCTCACTTCGCTTTCCCTGAGTTATGTCAGCATTTCAGCATTGGATTTGAACCTTCTTACTACCGCTTGCCCAAAACTTGAGACCTTATCCCTAATTAATCCCGAGATTGCCATGTCAGATGCCCAAGTGAGTGTTGAATTGAGCAGTCCAACGCTGAAGACTATATATGTTGAAGCCATTAGTTTGGACAAGTTCATTTTGGAGGCTGACTCTCTCGAGGATATGCATCTGAAAGATTGTGCTCTGGAGCAGTTCGAGCTTATTGGGAAGGGGACTTTAAAGCGTTTTCAAATTGATGATGTTAGTGTTATACATCTTGATATTGGTGAAATAGCTGAAAATCTTGAAGTTATTGATGTCAGCAACTTCACAATCATTTGGCCAAAATTTTATCATATGATCTCTATGTCGTCAAATTTGAGAGTACTTCGGCTTTGGGATGTGGTGTTTGATGATGAGGATGATGTAGTTGATTTGGAAACTATAGCTATTTGCTTCCCATATCTAAGCCATCTTTCATTAAGTAATGACTTGAGGGACGGTGTGATTCACTATGGATTGGAGGGTTCTTATCATCTGCACAATGTAGCTGTACTAGAAGTTGGTTGGACTGTTATCAGTGATATCTTCTCCCATTGGGTTGAAGAGCTTTTGCAGAGATGTCCCAACCTCGAAAAGTTGATCATTCATGGGACTGTTTCCGATGCCAAAACACCTGAAGAATGCCAAATGTTGGCAAATTTTACTTCCTCCATTGTTCGGCTGATGCGGCAGTATATGCATGTAGATGTGTATTTTGAATATGAGTAGGGGCAACAATGTCTCTTTGTACACCCGAAATTTTGGTTTGTCAAAATTGTTGATTGATCACGTGTTACGTACTTCTGTGAATGACAAGAATGAGTTTTCCTTTTGTTGGATAAGATTGAGGCATTGAGCAGGCAAGGCATGTCTGCCTATTTTTTGTACCTGTCGTTCAATTTATCAGCTTCCATGTTTTATTTGATTCAAGATATATCCTTTTTCCCTTTCTACTGGACGTTGTATCCACTCTCTTTGTTTTATATTGCACAATGTGTTTGATTTAGATGAAATGATTTACTCTTGATGGTTGATGAGCATGGTCGTTTATTGTTCTCTGTGTTTGACCTTAAAAGTAGCTCCCTTGAGCTGCCAACCATAGGAAAGCTAATGGTATGCATCTAGTTGTTTTTAAATCGTCTAACTCTGCTGGAAAGTCTGAATAAGAAGAGTTTCACTTGGAATGGCAGACTGGCAGGTTACATATTCCAACTTACTTTTCTATAATCTGGTTTTAAAATTGGATTAGCCTTGATACTGTGTTTTGTATATTGTTCCTTTTGCTCTATCCACTTTATCTGATTTTGCATTTTTTGTTCTGTCATGTATAATGTGCATGCTTTAATTCAGTATATGATCATGAATCTACTGTATATCCGAGTTAATGATGAAGAAGTTCAAAGTTCTTTTTTTTTTTTTTTAAGCTATGGAGACATGGAGTAAAGGGTTCAAGAATCTTTTTTCCCTTTAGTTACGGGTGGTGTAAGAAGAGGAAGACTGGGAGAAATTTAGTATAATATAAGAGTTGCAGTGTAGCTTACTGCAGTCCATGATGACTTTTTTTTTTTGAAAGAAGTCCATGATGACATTAGCATTACATGCTTTCACTGATGCCCGTCTTACTTCACTATGTTTATCAGGCACCCTGCCCAGAGCTTTAAAGAGACAAATCACCGGTGTGGACTTGGGATAGGTTAGTGTTCTAATATGTTGACATGAAATGAATGAATATTGAAAGTGGACTGACAGGGTACTGCCTTTATTTTCTGTACAGTTCTAACTAGTAAACCTGAGTCCCAACAGCTACTAGAACAGTGTACCTTACTATCTTTTGGGATTTAGTCGGGACTTGGAGCCTAGATGGTTAAGGTGTTCCTGAACTCTGATGGGCCTGGGAGTGGGGAGCGTATATGTTATCTTCTAGATGTCTTACTACAGGCGTGTGAAGCTACTGACTTAGATGTCTGATATAATGTTTGTGCATATTGTGTCTCAGACAATGTATGATGCTGCTAATATAAACTGTTGTCTGTCTGTCTATCTGATGTATCTGAAATATGTTTACTTGTTCAAATATTATGCTTCATGTCTGTTTACTCTGTTAAGACTAAGGCGGAACTAAATTACCGCACCTTTATTCTTGCCTTACTGTTAGTGATATTACGCTAGAGCACGTGGTATTTCGTGTTTTTCCTAAGTTAAATGTATCTAATCACCTATATTAATTCATCTTTATAATGTTTGATAAGTATGCAATTAAGTTTATCTAGACTTTATAATGCAGAAAGTACACGATTAGGTGCACCGTATTCAAATTTTCTGCAAAGAGTTGGTTTGAGTGTGTGATTGAATCCTGTAGTCTTTCATCTGATCTCTAGACTTTCGTGACCTTAAAGAACAACTGAAGAGAATAGGAAGAAGAAAAATTTTAAGCAAACAAATTATGCATAATTGACAGATGCAGGAAAGAAACAAGTGCAGGAATAAAATTACAACGATACCCTTGATCCCGGCTGAATTCTACCCCTCCCTATCTCCAAGTTGCTTCATCGGACAAAGGTGGAGGCGGAAGGGAACCTTCTCCTACACTGGTAGAACTATAGAAGGTCAAAGAGGGACCGTCGCCTCAACATGAAAAGCCAAAAAGGACAGGCAAAACCATTCAAATTCAATAAAGACTCGATAAATTGTTCTTTCGGCCATCATGGCTATCTTTTTATGCAGAGGATAGAAATGGTTGAATGCAACAGAAAGCAAATATTGCAACCAACCAAAAAGGCCTCACCTTTTAGTAAACTTGGAGATTGGACTTCCCCTACTGACCACCCTGACCAGGAATAATAATCGTACTTCAAAGTTTGAATTAAATTGGCAAATGAATATGAATATTCCAGATTTATGAATAAGAAATTTTTCTATATTTGCTTAATTTTCATTGAATATTGCTTATATAGAAGTGAGAGAAGTTCATCAAATTTTCCCATCAAATCAGAATTTTGGAGCAACGGAAGTTACTTAAAATCCTTAAATGGCGTATATTAGTATATTACTATAGTTTACAGTTTTAATATGATGTTAAAGGCAACAGAAGAACTAAAAAACTGATTTTTATTTTAACACTGGATTCGATAGCTTAGAGCAGCAGCCCAAGTTAATGCAACGCGCTGTGCCATAGAAGCAAACAGGGTCTGAGGGTCTCAGTTGTAACTCAATCTTAACAAGAAAAGGATTAACGTATTAATTAAACTGTATGGTTCTGATTGATTTGTATTTCTTGATTAGATTATGATACATTCTTAACAAGGATATCATAGATTATCCACATGACAATTGCTCAATTAAGAATTAAGTACATGCTTACATACGTTTCTTGGACTGGCTTATCACCCCTTTTTTTTCTACATTTATCAATAATCATTTCATGCCTTTTTACAATAATTTTTTTGCTCTTTTCTTTCTGTTTATTTTTTCAAAGTTTAAAACATAAATTAGTCATTTATGCATTGTTGTTGACTTAAAATAATGGCTTTCTTAAAGAGACCATTTTCAGTCCATTTTTAAAACTAATTTAATAATAAAAATAACTTTTTTTCATGCTTAAGCAACAAGCAAGGATTATACTCTAGCTTAATCACATCCATAAGTCAATATAAAATTAAGATTATATTGATAAATAATAACACAATTGAACGAAACCAATCGCCTTCGGACAGAAGAACAAGCAACATAATTAAATAAAGATCAAGGATTAGTTTGAATACAATTACAACATTCATAGAATCTTCTGATTGCCTAGCTAATCTTTCAACTTTTCATGTAATCCGCATGAAAAACAAGTCTTTAAGTCGCATTTAGAAGTTGAAAGTATATTATTATTAGTTCATAAAAAAACTTAATTACAATAATATAATTTAATATTAATCTATAAATCTAATCCATAGAACATCTAGCTGTTCACCAATCACCAGAATCGCAAACATTTTATTTTTTTAGACCAATCATTGATTACATAAGGAATAATTGGTAGGAAGCATAATTTTACCTACAAAAAGGTTCGATATGAGCATAATATTACAATTTTTATTAAAACAAATAATTAATAATAAAAATAATACAATAAAATTTGGTGACACCTCTTCCAGTAATCCAGTCTTCCCATTAGATGTAAGAAATGGGTCGTTACCAAAAAGTTTGTGTCTTTTTCTTTTATGTGGAAATGCATTTCATTAAGTACATACAAACGTAAATATAGTTATATAGTAATGCAACTCATCATGCGTATCCTTTCTTAAGTGTAACAAAAAGGTTCATTCTCTGATCTCCTCTTTTTTTCCTTTCACTAATGCTATTCAAGTCCCATGCAAAAGGTTACGCACTTGTGACCTTTTCTTAAGATTACACGGGATTGTAGAGAAAAAAAAATATTGAAATAAAAACGACATATGGAAGGGTAACTCATCATAGACAAAATAAAAGACCATGGAATAAAAACTTACGTTACTTGCATTACCTTTCCTTTTTTTTTTTTTTTTTTTTTTATGTCCAAATTTCCTCGATTTAATCTGAAAGTAAAAGGCAATGTATTGTAGAAATATAGAAAATGTATTTTTTATAGTAAATACTTTCTTTTATTAATACAATTATTCAAATTAGTTGTCGGAAAGTTCATTACATACTCCGTATCTTATTTGAGTTATTTCTTAATTAGTTTTTCTATTTATTCATTTCCATTCTACCAAATTAATTAGTTGTAAGGAAATAAAGAAGAATTTATGGACTAACAACAACCACCTCATAGAATTTTAGAAAAAAAAGGCACCTAATTGAAGGAATAAGGGCCCTAATTTTGGAAACTAATGAAACTAATCATTTTATTCATATTAATCATACATAATCAATGAGAACTATAAAAGACTAGTATGATATGCAACAAAAAAAAAAAATATACACACACACATATATATATATATATGTATATATATATATATATATATATATATATATATATATATATATATATATATATATATATATATCTATATATATATATATATATATATATGTATACATACATATATATATAGATACATATATATATATATATATGTATACATACATATATATATAGATACATATATATATATATATATATACACATAGAGATTGGATCATGTGAAAACAAACCTAAAGCTGAAAACTGAAAACAGATGATCTAGACCATTGAATTTTCATCTGACGGATTAGATTACATTCGCGTTATTTGTAATCTTGACCGTCCATTCTCTCTGCTCTATTTTTATCTTTCTTCAATCTCACGATATCACTGGTTCTCTATCCTTCTCCCAAAAAATCATCAAATTTCAGAGGAATTTGCTTCAATCTTCATCAATAATTTGCTTCAATCTTCATCAATTTCGTCTTTAGCTTCAAAATTAAACCTGAAAAGTGAGTTTTGCGTTTCAACAATCAATTATGTGAGTTAATCATTTTCGTCGCTGAATATTCATCCCAATGAAGCGAGTTTTGAGCTTTCTCGATCCTCCATTGAAGCGAGTTTGAGCTTTCTTCTCCATTGAAGCGGCTTCTCAGGTAGTATTTCTTAAATTATCGACTATCAATTTCACAATCTAGGGTTTATTTCTAGTTAATTGCTCGAATGTTTTTGTTATGAAATATAAATTGTTGTTTGGATTCGAAATTTGTTGAATAGCATGCGAATTTTGTCGATTCAAGCATTTAATTGTTTTTAGATTTTATGTGTCATGTATTGTGAGTTTGTGACCCTTGAATTTATGTAAAATTGGGGGATTAGAGCAATCTTGAGCTCTTCATTGTGCCTTTTGCTTGGTCGGTTTGTTGTCACGGATTCATGGGGGAATTCGAGTAGTTTAGCATCTGTTTCTTGTGATTGTACTGCCTTGCATTTTGATGCAGAGTAAAGATGAGAAATAGGGTTACATTTTTGGGAACTAGCAAGCTGAACTTGGTGAAATTGTATAATTTCTTGGATTATATTTTCTTTATGTTTAGTACTTTTAAGGCTTTATAAAGAGGCTTCCATTGCATATATTGAGGCTTCCATTGCAAATATTAAACAGATTTCTACATGTGAAGGAGACAGAAAATTGAAGTATGGCGATCATCATGGTTTTCTCGTAATTACACTTATTGACACGCCAAGAGCTTATGCTGATCTCAAATCTGAGGAACTTGGTCAGGTGAGTAGACAACTACTAGTTTATTTTAAGTTTATATTGACTAAACCTGTGGTAATGAGGACGAAATGATTTGTCTCTCTGAGCTCAGGGTGAAGCTATAGCTCAAAACATAAGGTCTATGTTTGGACTGAGAGTTCCTGTCATCTCAATAGTCACCGGTGAAGGTGGTTTTGGGGGAGCTCTGGCCATCTGTTGCTGCAATAAATTGTTTATGCTTGAGAATCCTGCTTTCTATGTTGCTAGGTTTTCTTCGCATCTATTGTCTATTTTTGGTTTCTTATTATTATTCAAATTCCTTCATCATTTTCCAATACATGCTTACCTTATTATTTCCCTTTTGACATTCCTGAAGCATGCGTTGCAATATTATGGAAATCTGCCCAAGCAGCCCCAAAGGTATATGAATTTTTCTCTTGCTAGATAGTTAATAAGCTTTCATGGGATACAGCCTTATTAATTTAAGAAGAATCTATCTTTTTCATGAAAAGGCTGCTGAAAACATGAGGATAACAGCCCAAGAACACCTTCGGCTAAAAATTGATGATGTTATAATTCCTGCAAGCTTTTCTAAATTCTCAAATTTCTGCCTGAAATCAACATGATTTGTTTGGACACTTGGAATGCGTTCATTTGGACTGCATGCTTATTCCACATAATTGGCAGGTGTGATACTTTTGTGTTCTTTGTGTGATATTCTTTCTGATTATTTGTCTCGAACACTCTTCTTTTTTCTTTTTGCTGTTATTCTGAAATGTTGATTTGAAGCAAATTTCTTGTAGAGACATACTTCGTATACCTTAAAAATATTTCAGGTAGTATTTCTTAAATTATCGACTATCAAATATTTTTAAGCCTATTAGCTCAATTGGTCGAGCACCGTGTAATCACGGGATGTAGGTTCGAATCCTACATAGACTTTTTTAATACCCTTTATTTTTATATTTAGTGACCTATGGGTAAATGGCGTCAAATTGATATAATTACCCTAAGTTTATATATAGTTACCTTATTTCCGTATATAAGGACCTTAGTATCATGGAAATTTTGTAAGTTTTATTTCAGTCACCTTATCTTTGTATATAACAATCTCTATGTAAATGTTGTCAAAATCGACGTAGTTACTTTATTTTTATATATAGTGACCTTTCTTTTTGTATATAGTGACCTTTATGTAAATGGTGTCAAAAACTTAGTCGATGTAGTTACCTTATTTTTGTATATAGCGACCTTAATGTAAATGTTGTAAAAATTGATATAGTTACCTTATTTTTGTATATAGTGACCTTTATGTAAATGTGGTTAAAATTGAAATAGTTACCCTATTTTTGTATATAGTGACCTCTAAGTAAATATTGTAAAAATTGATATAGTTACCTTATTTCTATATATAGTGACCTCGGTGTAAATGTCATCAAAATTAATATAACTCGATATAATTACCTTATTTTTGTATATAGTGACCTCTGGGTTGTTTCACACCATCAGATTATCTAGTGAACATTCAATGGCTAAGATTGCTTGTTTTTAGTTTTCACCATAAGCACTGTTTTTAGCGGAACCTCCCCGTATACACATATACATATATATATATATATATGTATGTATGTATGTATGTATGTATGTATATATATATATATATATATGTATATATATATATATATATATATATATATATATAATATATATATATATATATATATATATATATATATATATAAATTAGTAGAAGAGAGAATCTTTAATTTGTGTGGCATGGTTTTAGGTGATGACAAGGAAAGGATGTTGACTCCTTAACAAAGAGGATAATACCAGATAATTAAAACCCTCTCTGAATTTAAGGGTTTTTTCAATTATATACAAGTGGAAGGAAGGGGGTGGTCTTTTATAATGTTTTGGTTGACACTTGACAGGGCAATTAGCACAACATTAATATAATTATATTTTTATCTATTTTCATAATATATACTACTAGACCAAAAAGTAAAACCCAAATTTCCATTAAAAATAAACAATTTAGATTCAGCTAAACAACTTTAGAATGCCATTGTCTTTTGGTTTCTCTTTTTACCATCTTTTATGATAAAAATCTTGTCTTATATCCCCTTTGTAATGCTATATTTGATATAGATTACATTATAATAGAATAGTCTAAATACCTAATACTCAACATATTAGATATTTGATAGTCTATAAAGAAAAGTTTCATTATTTTTTTTCAAAAATTTATCCCATTTAATTTAATTTCTCTGTTTTTTATTCACCTTTAATTAAACAAACTTCATTTTTCTTCTTATCTTTATTCAGTAAATCACCTTTTTTAGTCAAACTGCACAATTTTTTTTCCAATCACCTCGATCTCTTAAGTACATGTACATCAAGCAAATGACACCTTCATTTACGAAAGAATAGACTAAATAACACACTATATATGAAAAACACAATGTAATAAATAAACACAATATGACTAGAATTTGTTATATATACTCGGGTGTACAAAACAAGCTCTCCAATATGACAATACAATGGGGCTTTAACGCCTTCAAGTAAAGTTATTATTCTACTCCCTATGTCTCTTAACGCGCGTTTGCTCCATTTTCCTTTTTAATTCGTCCTTTTTAACTTTGTCCATACTATTTTTAGTTGTAAGGATCACATCTTTACTCTCACAACCATTTCAACCCTACCATATTTTCTTGTCAATTCTTTTCAACCAAAAATTAAAAGTGACCATCCCGTAACGAAGCAAACAAGAGAAGAATGAGGGAATATCAAGTACCCCCCATATATATCACCGAACATATTAACCTTTTAACCTTACCCTGCGGCTAACAAATTTTTTTGCATATCTTCAAATCTTCCATAGTTGTATAGCTTCTCACAAGGGACCAATAACAAAACATAGTCGGTTAAGAAATAGGAAGTGGAGTTGGAGTCAGTGATTCTAGTGGGTTCCCTTGGGTCGTTTGACCCCACTAATTAAAATCATATTATAGTAATTAGGTCCCTCCAAACCCATTAATTTAGTTTAATCCTTCTATCATTACTTTATATAAAACCATACCTATTTAATTAAAGCTTTCAAACCCCACAAAACCACAAGCAAGTCTGAGAAAAACCCATTCAAGGACAAGATTTTCTGTACCATAAATTCAATTTTCTCATAATAGTAACAACTGTAATAATTACTATTTCAATAACTTTGCGAAAAAATCCCTCTTCAAAAAGAGAACAATCATCCAATCTTTTTGTTTATCTTCATAGAGAAGGAGAGAGAAAAGCAAACCCACAAACTGAAAAGAAAGAGCCCTCCTTCATTTGTTGATGATGAACACATACTCGATGTGATATGATATGATATGATATGAATTGAAAGCTCGGAAAAGTTTGACAGGAGAGAAAATAAATAGTTGTACTAGTACATGTTTTGAAAAAGACTCAAACTTTCTCTATCTTCTGATTTTCTTCTTCTTTTGGTGGCTACCCTTCTTTTTCATCCATTTTGACATTCATCTTATTTTCAAGTTTTCATCTTTCTCTCTCCTCTCTCCCAAAGGTATAAACTTGTGAAGTAAGCTTCCTTAATTCTTCTTCAAATTCCACTTTCCCTCTGTTTTCCTTAATTTCTCTCAAAAACTAAGCTTAATTTTGTTTAACTTTCAGTTTATAGATTTCAGAAGAGGAGGAAAGCCAAGACTAGCTAATTACATGGAGGTGTAATTAATTAATAAGTGGGCGTAAATTAATCATACAAGTAAATTTGCATGGCGTCAAGTCATAGGCTTGGAGAAACTGGTTTATCACAATCAGGTCCTTCATCAAATCATCATCACAACATTCCTTTTGCAATCCCTCATCATCATCTCCATGCCGCCGCGATCAAACCTACAACAACTAATCCTTTCATGTAATTAATTACTTCTCCTATCATCGATGTATCTACAGTCGTTAATTCAAATTACTATACATTATCAACGTGTTTAATGATTAATAATATGTTTATGGTTGTATTTGTTTGACATGACAAGTTTTTTTTGGTTGTATTTGGAAAAAAAAACACAGGAATCAAGGAGGATCCTCATTTGATTTTGGAGAGCTAGAACAAGCTATTGTTCTGCAAGGAGTTAAGATTGGAAATCATGAACAACCTAAACCAGGTACTACATCTATCTAATCTACTCTACTTTTTTTTTTTTTTTAATTTCTGACGTTTGATAATAAACTTAACCATTTAACCAACCAACCAAAAATGGAAAAAAGAGAAATGAAAAGGAGGGAAGTTTGAATGTGTCTTACAATAAATTAAAAGAAAGTGCATGTTATTTCTATTTACATTACATAAATCATTTTCTCAAGGATACAACAGAATGGCGTGGGGTTACTAACATGGAAATCATGACCTCTTCATATCTCTACACATCATTTCACTTTAACTGCATTATTTTTTGCACCCTTTTTATAAATTCATTTTCCAATTTTTTTTTCCATATACTTCATTCGTTTTTAAAAGTGTTTTTTATTCTAAATAATATTCGTCTTATAAAGGTTAAAACAGAAAGAAGTTTTAGATACGCTATTTTTAGCGGTATGGGTGATTGATAATAATGAAAAAAAAATGGTTTTATATGATTTTGTGCAGCTTTATTTACAAATGGAAGCAGACCTGCAGCAACTCTGGAGATGTTCCCTTCTTGGCCAATGAGGTTTCAACAAACCACCAGAGTATGTACCATACTTTCTCTCACTAAAAATTTCTCTCTCTAAAACTTTTTTTTTACTCTTTCTACAGTACAAAGTTTGACCAGTTCTTTTTTAAGACTTTGATGGCTGAAAACAACCATCTCCTGTGTCTTCTGAAGTTTCCTTTTTTTGAAGATATTTTCTTTTGTTTTTATTCCTTTTACTTGTGTTTTTGGATAAACATTTTCAATTTTTTAAATACTACCCATTTTTAAAATAAAATAATATTTGGTAAAATTATTGATAGTGCGTATTAATATTGTTATTAGCAGGGAAGTTGTTCAAAGTCAGGAGGAGAAAGTACAGATGATTCAGGATCAGCAATTAACACCCTTTCATCCAGTCAAGCTGATACTCATTTAGAACAACCCGAATCTCCGATTAGCAAAAACCAACAACAACAACAGCAACAACAAGGTGGCAGTTTTCAGCAACCAGGAATGGCAAGTGATAGCTCCAGAACTGGAATATCCCAAAATCAATCTGCTCAAAAACAACCTCAAGAAAAGGTTCTTTTTCTCATTCTTTGACCAACACAATCTTCGTTATTATTGTTGTTGTATTATTACTTATTTAAATTACACAATCAACACGACTATTAATTTCGAGTGAGACACACTAGAATAATAATGTTATCTGCCTTTCCTTTTTTTTTCCTTTTGTCCTTTTTTTTTTCCCTTGCCATTTAGTCATTTACCACTAAATATCATAAAGAAGGTGTTATCTTTATCTTGAATTTTCTAAATTTCTCTCTTTCTCTCTCTTTTTTTTTTTTAAAAAAAAAAGTCTTTCTGGATAAAGACAAAAGTTTCACAGATCCCAAAAACACTCATAAAATCAAAGGCAGGGTTTTTTTTGTTTTGCTGGATGATTTTCTGATCAAAGTGTCTGACATGAAAAACAGAAAAAGAGTGTTTTTTTACTTCTCATCAGAAAAGCAAAAGATAGAATCTTCACAGTAATTCCACTATTTTCACAGTATTTTATTCTAATGGTTTTATATATTTATTTTATTTATTTTAATTAAAGCTATAGTGCTAGTACTCCTACTTTAGCTCTAATCCCTATAACTCAAGTCCTAACCTTCTGTTTTGGACTTCATATTTTCCCAAATCAGAGAACAACAACAAAAAAAATAAAAAAAAATAAAAAAATCATCAAAAAATTTGTCATATTTATATTAAATGCAAATCTTCCTACTCCAAACTGTGTAATCTTAAATGCATGTGATAAAACTTCACTATTTTTTCTTCAAAATATTCTGAAATTTGCTCATTTCAGCAACCATGTTTGCACAGCAAAATGAGGTTGACCCTTTTATCCCTCTAATCATTTTTATTCTTTGTTCAATTAAATTATGTCAATTTTTGTAAACAACTCCTACCTATTACATGAAAAATACATGCATTTTCTCTTTCAAATTTGCTAAATTTAACCACTTTCTACTTTTTCCTTTGTACAATAATTATAGTATAGAAAAATGGTTTACTATTATTTTTACATTGTTTTTAACCTCAAATGTTTTTGCTTTTATTGTAGAGACATGGTGGAACCAAATCAGATAAACCACTTGATGCTAAGGTAATACTTAAAGTTCATGTCTAAAACAACTAAACTCAAACTTCATTTTTTATTTTGAGTCGAGCTAATTGTCTAACAGTTACACTTTATTAAGAGTATTTACGTAGTTTCAGCCATGTTAGTTACACTTTATTGATTCTCCTTGGTTTTCAGACACTTAGGCGTTTGGCACAGAATAGAGAAGCAGCTAGAAAAAGTCGACTAAGGAAGAAGGTAGAAGTATTTTCTGCTCTATTTTTTTTATTCAAACAAAATTCGAATTTTCAAGCACATAATTAAAGCCTCATTTATGGTGTACAGGCTTATGTACAGCAGCTAGAATCAAGTAGGATCAAGCTAGCACAGCTAGAGCAAGATCTTCAAAGAGCTAGAGCACAGGTCATACACCTTTATTTATTTATTTATTATCATTTTCATTTTTTTGTAATATTATATAGTTTGATTTACACTTACAAGATAATGAAGTTGAATTTTCATAACATATTGGAGCATACTATAGTGTAGTATGTCAATTTATTTGTTTCTTTTTTGAATTTTCAGGGTTTTTTCATGGGTGGAGGTGGTGGTGCACCTTCAAATATTAGCTCAGGTGAATTTTCATGGGACTTTTCATGTATGATTTTTCCAAAATCTGATCATTATTTTTTCCAAAATTTGATCATTATTTCAGACGGCATATATACAAGGAACATAAAATTTATTTTAATCTAACATGTTGAATTAGATGTGTAATGAATTATCTTAGGACGACATAGATATGTGGTTTATAATCTAGGCATGGAAAAAATATATGGCAATAATACTAATTTGTTCTGGGCCACGAGGTAATGTGGCAGTTTGTGATTGGCTGTGTAGCTTAGTTTAAGAATACTGAGGAAGATAGCATATATGTTGCTTGCTTCTTTAAGATAGACTTGTGAACTGAACAATAATGAATCAGAAAATGTCAAAACCACAGGAACATTGTTCAAAGAACAAATAATTTATAAATTGTTATCATGCATTTCTTAAGATTTTTTGTGAATTTTATATAGTTGAGTCTTACTAGAGCTGGCAAAGAATTTATTTAAATTGTTTGTGATTTTGACTTATAGATTAGATATGAAAAAACAAATGCTTGAACTACCGAATATCAGGCCAATTATTTAGAATAATGTCGATCATTTTGATTGTTTTTTGTTATCAAATTGCAAGAGTTGAGTAATATGCCAAATTTATTCAAAAATGACCGACTGTATGATTTATATGCTACTTGCAAATACAAGCCATAAATTTTGACAAGAATATTTTACTTAGTTCTTTTGTTCATACTCCTTATCCAAGGGGAACGTATCTAACAAGACACCGTAAATTTTGGATTTTCTAAATAGGAGACCAAATAATTTAGAAATTTTTTAAATAACGGAGATTTGAAAACATGTAAAATATGACCCATAGAAGTATTAGCTTATTTAAATTATTTCGGATTAATAAATTTTTCTTGGAGAGTCAATAATTTTGAGGTTATGGAGGGTTTTCTTGTTAATTAGTGATTAAAATAAAACAAGAAGAATTAACTGATTTACTCATTTACACTTGCATTTATCACTTAAACTAACAAAAAATTGAACCTTATGCAAATGCATGCAATTTGTCACTTAAAGTTGATGTAGCTCAAAACAATATCATCTCCTAAGAGTGCTAAGACACATTAACCCTTATTTTGCAGTTGATGGTGTTGCAGGAGCTGCTATATTTGATATGGAGTATGCAAGATGGCTGGAAGATGATCATAGGCACACGTCAGAACTTCGAGCTGCTCTACGAGCTCACTTATCAGATGGAGACCTCAGGATTATAGTAGATGGTTATATCAACCATTATGATGAAATCTTTCGCCTCAAGGGGGTGGCAGCCAAATCCGATATCTTTCACCTCATCACCGGAATGTGGACTACTCCTGCAGAGCGTTGTTTCCTTTGGATGGGTGGATTTAGGCCATCAGAACTCATCAAGGTACGTAGAAAAAAATTAAATTAAATTGGTAGCAGAAGAATAATATCAATGCTTATGAGCATGTATCATATGTTGCATTGTACTAGGGTTCACATGCAAAGATTTTACTGTACTACGGAGTACTTTGTACTTAGAAAGATAATACAGTATATCTCACCATTTATATGCTCTTGGCAAAGTGCCAAAGTGGCAACAAATTGTCGCGTTACCTAGAAGCATGTATGCTCGCTTCTAACAAATTGCGTACTACATACTTAGGGCTAGTGGTTATTGATTAAGCACCACTTGATTATGCCTAGACAACAAAGCTGTGCTTAATTCTATCTTCATTTGATACTGGAGTTACTTTTTCCGCAGATTTAGTCTAAAGTTTAGGGTTGTACTGATATATTCTTGATTCCAGTATCGAAAAGTCTCTTTAAAAAAAGCAAGCCTAATGTCAAAATAAAAGCAACTTGTGAGGAATAAGATCAAATAAAAGTGAAGAAAATTGAGGCCTCTACCTGCTAAATGTTATCCAAAGAAGAAGTGATTCTAAATTTCTTGTTCGAGCTAATTAATGTGTCACTAATTCAACAATTTAAGTCACTAATCAACTCTTCAAAGCATGTGAATTGATAATTTCTTCTTTCTTGTTCTTGATCAATATCTTGATTATATCCTAATTGTTGATTGATGGTGAAAGCAATAAAGTGATTAAATAAAATGTCTTTTAAGTCTAAGGAAGAAGAGTTTGTGGCTTGTGTTACAGATGTTAACAGCGCAATTAGACCCATTAACGGAGCAGCAGCTGATGGGAATATACAGTCTACAACACTCCTTGCAACAGGCAGAAGAGGCTCTCACCCAAGGTCTAGATCAACTTCAGCAATCTTTAGTTGACACCATCGCGACTAGTACTGTTACTGATGGTATGCATCAAATGGCTATTGCTTTGGGCAAACTTTCTAATCTTGAAGGTTTTATTCGCCAGGTAAATAATTAAGATTATCAATCGTTTGTTTTCAGAACTTAAGGGCAAATAATTCAAATGAAGCATACTTACCTAAGTTTAAGTGAAACCAAGACAACATTATACGGAGTACATGCATAATGCTTAATTGCATTAGTATGTTGTGTTCTCTCAGTATTAACACTAATTGTCTATCTGTCCTAACAAATTTTGGACTTTTTTTAAATTGACAAGAACTGTGGACCAGGTTTTCCCATTACAACAGTTCTTGACAAAAAGTACATCTCTTCCAAATGGCTTCTGAAAACGACAGATTTAGGTAGTACTTCTGGAGATACATTCATACATGTAGTCATAATATTTTGCACGAGCACATAACATTTGCACAATAACATACTACCCTTGTCGAGATATATTCAGTTGTCACACTATTAGTTCAAATTACTATCAGAAGTGGGTTGAGTAACGCTTACTAGAAAGTCACGAAACTGGGGCCTATTCATACTGTTTTCTTAATTAATAAAGGTATTAGTAAACTAAAGATCATGTAAGTAGAGATTACTTCACCTGTATTACACCAAAATCCAGGGCTTTTGTCTCATGTTTTGCGGCGTAACTCTGTGGATAGTACACCTGAAGGGCAAACGTGCACATGACATTAACCTGACCTCACCTTTGATTTAACCTTGTAAATTGACTTTCAATACCCTGCAAAATAAAGTGATTAATTAATATTATTAAAATTTCATTCAGCCATCAGATCAAAGTTACACATCATTCTATAATAGAGTCATTAATTAAGATTTGGTGCATGATTTTTATTCTTTTAATGTCATTATCAGAAGTTGATTTGAAAACGATAACAACAAAATATAATAAAAATAATATAAAGAAGACTAAAGCCTCAACCATGCCTTCAAAAAACAAAAAAATTCAACCCCTTCTCATCTACTACTCAAACTCTATGATTGGAAATGTCCAAATCTAAGACTTAAAAAACAACTTCATATGGGTCAACCTCTTTGACAATATGTTTGAAGACTATTTTGATCTCGAATTGGGGACCCTTTTGATTAAGCTATAATACTAGCTTAATGAGTGGTTAAGTTGTACCCTTCACTAATTGATATGATAAAGATATTGTCTTGAATTGCTTTTTGACCGATTTGTTGTGATATACCTTAACTTTTTCCTGTTTGTTCCTTCTACTCCTGGATTTTAGGCTGATAACTTGAGACAACAAACCCTTCATCAACTACACAGAATATTGACAATTCGACAAGCTGCTAGATGTTTTCTGGTTATCGGAGAATACTATGGCCGGTTGCGTGCTCTAAGTTCCCTCTGGGCTTCACGTCCTAGAGTGTAAGTTTTTTGACTGGACAAAGTTACAATATGAGTTCCCTTCAAAAAAAAAAAAAAAAAAAAAAAAAAAAGAGTTACAATTTGAGTTGGTATTAGTCAATAAAATTTGTAGGTAGTATGATTATATGGCCTTTTAGATAATTAACCCTCCTGACATTTTCTTGTTTGATTGAGTAACGTTCGAATCATTAGTTTGTAGGAAATCATATGCTTCCCTACAAGACTAAATGCTGAAATCCTCGTTTTAAATTCTTACAAAAATTTCGTCATCTACACATGCTTTTTATTGAATGAAAATTATTTTTACTAATTGTAACATATACTTAATTGCTTTAGTAAATTAGTAATGATTTTTTGCTCTATGCAAGTACTAGCATAAAATATGAAAAATGATTTTTATAGATTAAAACAAAGTTTTCTGGTTTATATTTTCATTGAACAAAACGAGGCCTATCTGATCTACAGAAGTACAAATAGTTAGGTTTTGTAATTATTTCAAGATAGTTCCTTCAAGAGACAATTGTCTTTGTGAAAATGATCTCAAAGCTTTTGTAATTCAAGTTGCATTGTATTTTTTCTAGTTTAACAATTAACTTAGCTTGTCATTGTTTGACTGTAATTAAAAAGGATTTATAACTTTCATTTTTAAAAAAATGCAAATGAGATCACTCAAGAATCAACTTGTTTGAATGAAACATATTTTGGTAAAATGGAATAACAATTATATCCAAGGAACATATTATAGCTAGTCATACACATAATATCTTTATAAAACATCTACCATAATTATATTATAATCACTTGATTTTTTCACTAATAATCTTACTTTTTAATGTTTTCAGACACATGATGAACAACGATAATTCATGTCAAACAGCCCCAGATATGCAGATGGTGCAACCTCATCAACATAACCACTTCTCGCCGTTTTAGATTGAAGTACATTCATGGTGGCTATCAAAAATACTTCCTCCAGCATTCCAGCTTCATTTAGGAATAGATTTTTATTTTCTTTTAATTATTAAATTCTAAGTATATCATTAGGTTATCTTTCACTTGTAAATCAAAAGGAAGCTTCTCCCTCGCCGCCCCTTCCCCTTCCAAAGAGAAAAACAAAGCAACAATGTAAATGTCTAGGTGCGATTTATAAATCATATTATATGAAATATAATTCGCGCTTTATCTTCTTCTTCGGCTTTTCCTTTTGTATTTATTGCGTATATTATATGAATGGATTAGAAGACATGGTTAGGAAGGAGACACAATACACTAAATACAAAATTTGTTGCATTTTCCTAATAACAAGTGGTTGTAATATGCAATTATAAAAAATGGTTGAAAGGCCAATGTCCTATTAACACAAAAACATGATGGATAGCAAAGGCTAAGAATACAAAGTGGCTGGTAGTGAGAAGATGAAAAGGCGGGAAGTTGCTTTGCTTTCTGTAAATTTTTAACAATATCGGCGAAAAATTTATAACATAAGATTGATAAGAAGGATTAATATAAGAGAAACAAGGAGCACTTATATAGCATGCTTTAGAAAGTGGATTTGGTTTAGAAGTACTAACCAAAAATATGTCGTCTTGTAATTTGTAAATGGATGGGATGTATATTGGTATGACAAGTTTTGATTTGCGGTGTCTCTGTAAGTGGAGATAAAAAAAAAATAAAAAAGTTTTTAGAATAAGAGATGATACAGCTTTCCAAAAAAAAAAAAAAAAAAAAAAAAGATGATACAAGCTTAAGAAAATGTAAAGGATAAAGCAACTAAAATAGACATACACAAACATGAATATACTAAAGATCATGTCACCAACAAGAAATTTGTACGTAGTGATTATGGCATTTTCAGTTAATTTTTGTGTTAACGTGCAGCTCTTGCACGCCTGTGCCAATTTGTTAAGCCCCAATTTTTGTGTAAAAAATATTCTTCTAATAATTACATATGTTTTATTTTATCTGTAACAAGGGGTTAATAAAAACGTTTTAAACTTAGATTAGACATTTCGTGTTACTCCGTATTAGTATTAGGTTAAGAATGGATGTAAATGACAGATTAAGATCGATCATGATAGTACATAAGATTAGAAAATTGGTTCATTTTATTTCATAAATTAACCTAAGAGTTCATGATTTAGTAAGAAAAAGGGCAGTAGGGTATGTAGTAACAAAAACCACCTAGCTTGATCATTAAAAGATTAACAGGTTCTAGGAAGACTTAGACATATGAAGTCTTTCTTAGACATTTAATCCAGACAAGTTCAAAACGATATGACTATCGAGTGGTATTCTTTTGTAATTAATTGTTATATTGCTAGTGTAATTCAAACTAGCAATATGATAAACAAATTCAGACCAAGGATGTATGTAGATGGTCAATGTCAATCGAAGTCCGGCCACAAATATGGGACTAGTTGATAGTGCTCTGTATCTTATAGAGTACATAACAATTACTAAATCATCATTTCAATGCTCATTCATATGTAGAGCATGAACCATGTCAATAACTTTTTTTTCCTTTCTTTTGGCTCTCAGTTGGCCATACATGGCAGGCAATTAATGTAATTGGTGCAATAATCTTGGAGATTAAAGCAAAAATATGCACATAATCAAGCAAATGACTTCCCGTCTGGCTAAAAGTCTAGATGGCTTTCTGACCTACCTAAAGGTTACCGTGGCATTATTATGTGTAATTTCATACAAAGTACATTTTATACAAAGTATATAATATTGTTATACCTACTTGTCAGTTATTCATTTGTTAGCAGAACTGAAGCATCAAATTAAAGATGTACATTTATAACGTGCAATACAATATTGGCACTAGTTAATTCTGTTAATGAGGAAAAAATTAGGTGCACAAAGGAAAAGCAATATCATCAATGAATGAGCCTACAATAGACAAAGCTAGGGAGTGGTATCAAGGTGCGAGACATAACCTTGGGACAGTGGGAGCGTTCCATGAACTTCGCAGTCCTTTGGCATTGTCCATACTCCATATAGTCCATTGGGTGGGTGGTGCAAGGCCGACGCTTGCAATTTGAAAGATCGATTATACAACCAAAGTCCGCCAATCTGCTTTTCTTTTGAAAAATTGAATTGAAATTAATGTTATTGGTTCAAATGATTAGAACCAAATTTTATCGAATCCAAAGTATTTATCTTATAAGTCATTACTTATCTCATTATATTCCAAAGTAAAGGAAAAAGGGTCAAAGACATTGTGTTAACTAGAGATAACACAAAACAAGCACAAATTACACTATTGAAAATTTGAAATACAGACAAACATATGAGAATAACCAATAAGTTTACAAGTATGTTCAAGAAAGGATGATGCATATAACTAAGTTACCAAATTGACACTTGTAGGCAAATGACATGTTTGAATCTTATTAAATCGGGTCAAATTAGTTTGGTCATACTTGGATGATGAGTTAGGTTTAACTTTCAGCGTGATCATACTAGGGTGATGAGTCATTAGATTCAACTTTTAGTCATAATTGAGATTGTTGCCAATTAGTCAATCCAGACCGAACTACAAAAAAAATGTGCATTTAGAGACTGGAATTACCTACTGCTAAACTATCAGTAGGAAATACATAAATTACCATACGTACGAAAGATGACCTTAAATACCAACCACTTTGGTTTGGATCTAGGTATGTTTTTAAGTACGACTGGTTTGTACTTAGTTGCATCTTCCTATGAAGATGAAATACTTCGTATTAATTTAAAAGAAAATAACTCAATAATAACGAACCCAAGTTGAGCGCGCAAAGAAAACCAACCATTGAATTGGTACAACAGAAGCATGTCTTCTCATAGTAGGGAAAGGTCAATAGCAAAAGCAAGTCAACTTGGTAATCCAACAGAAAATTAGGTCAGACAAACAATTTGTTGATAGTTAATAGTTGGCTTTAGTTGACAAACACAATAGATAAACACCAAAATATGGATTAAAGAAACAATATTATAACAAGCTAACTCATCTTGGCATCGACTACCTTGATGGCTAAAGCTCACCTGATCTTTTTACTAAATATTAGTGTTATATTTGAACTTTATTTTTTCAAAGTATGGATATTGTTGATTTGTTCTACAATTACAGCATAAATTCTTAATAAAGTTTCAAATCTCTATTACCATTATTACACGCAATTATTTACGTAATAATTATCTTTCCAAATCGCTTTCACTTTTTAGATATTACTTCGTAAAATGTACTAGTGCTAATACATGGATACGTTCATCAGGAAAAATATAATTTAGTAAGTAATTAGGGATCTTATATTATACACCAAAAGAAATAAATGAATACATTAACCAACAATGAATTATTTGGCAATCCCTCCCCACCTAAAGTTATCCCAAAATACAATTTACTAGTGCTAATAAATTGATGAGAAGTATAGCAAGTTAGTTTCATTTGAAGATTATTTTGTTGTACCCAAGGTCTCCTGATTTCACTTGGATTAGAAAGTAGTAAACTTAAACAGATATCTAACTCAGTAGTCTCAATGATCCAGATGAGTCTGCAGTTCTTCAAATGAAAATGAATAGGTTGGTCGGAACTGTTTTTCTCTAACTATTTACTCTTTTTTTTATTAATCACATTAGTAGGGCTTGCATAACATAGGGTAGGGACCAAAGTAAGATTTTTATAATAAAAAGTATAGTTAACGGACCATTTATTTTTTATGGAAGATTAAAAAGTATTATAGTAGTAAGTCTTTACCATATAAAGAAGTGTTTCAATTGATTAGAAACGGATGAAAAAAAATTCTTGCTATTAATTAGAATTATAGGACATTTTATAGATAAAATTATTATTACTCAAAAGCTAGTCTTGTTTATATTATTAATTAACGCATCAAAGAATTACCTAGCAATCAAAATTACAAGTTGGTCAAACAAGACAAGTGAATCAACTAAGCTTTAAAATGACTAGTCAAATTAGATCAAAATCTCAAATTTAAAATTATGCTTTTATTTTTGGCAAAATCAAATCTACTATGATTCACAGGCTATAGCATAATGGAGGAGTCATATGACCCATTTTTAACGTAAGGAGCATACATTATGACTCATAACCAAAAAAAAAATGTCAATAATAAGGGAAAGTAGAAGATCGGAAGTGCAAGCACAAAGCAAATGCTGTTGTTAATATGGTGTCATGGATCAATGATAATAAGTGGCAGAAATGCAGCAAGAGAATTCACTAAATGTACGTACATTTAATTGAATAAAATAACGTATTAAGATCATGTACCTGATCCTTGCAAGCAGATTTATCGTGATGCAGCCGTGCTGAAGGTAAGCTCTCAAATAGTGCCCAAACTGTAAGCTGAAAAAGAGTAACGGAATATGGGCTCAAATCTCCGTGGAAGTTTAGGTATTCAAAATAGTTCACACAAAAAGTGCAGTAAAAGTTCAGATAGAGGGCTCACTATGGAAGAACGATCTGTATCGTTATTGACACCATCTGAGACACAGTATTGGAGCCTTCGACAAAGTACAAGTAGCTAATCACTTCCTGGGTTAAGATATGAAGCAAAGGATACAAATACAAGACAAAATTCAATTTAAAAAAAAAAAAAAAGATTATTAAGCTCATTTCATCAAGAAATTCATGTAAGCATCTGACAAGATGGTGAAATAAGAAAGTCATTTTCAACCAGGAATATGCTTCACCACGCAGAAACTGAAAATCGTCAAATACCGAAAATCATTAAGTGTGCAATATGATAAATTGACAATAGCAGTAAATAAGACGATAACATAAATTAATAAATAAAACACCCTACTAAATAAATATATTTCACTTAATTAATAAGCAGGAAATGCAGGATTTTAGATCATTAAGTAATTCCCTCATTTTCTTCTCCTGCCATAAGAACCCTTCATTTCAGAAGGCAAAGGAAGACGTGCTGTGACAGGGTAAGATACAATAGCAAAAAAGTACACACAGGATATTAGGCATCAGTATCCATCCAAAACCTAACACCAACCTTTGCAAAAATGCAATTAATTTCAATTAGAAAACAATTATATACAGCTTTCTCAATTGAAACCAAGTGAGCAAACATTCAATATGCTAAGCAATGTTCTAGCCAAAATGTACACATATATACAAAGCACAATATTAATTGCTGAAATCCTCACATCACAACCATATTAAGGTCGTCCATAGGTATTTCTAAACC